AAGGAGCCTGCAGCGGTTCACATCTCCGATATTTCTGATTAAAAATTACAATGTCCTGTGAATTAATCAACCATCAACTATTCGATATTTGGCTAAATACTATTGAAAAAGGTCGCTGTGCTTCTATTATTGAACATATGAGGAGTAACATAAGCAGTGGCTCACACACAAAAATTGATAACGAAAAACTTGGCGTGTTTTGTAAGCGTTTAAGTCAAAATTTTAAAGACAGGTGGGTTAAAGCATATAGGGTAAAAAACGATTTTTAGACAATAATAGTGAATGGCTAAAGACAAAAATATGCATACCGTCAATAATTATAAAATCGAGGGACAAAGGAACTGCTGGTAGGCCAACTAAAGATTTCAATGATTCTTCTTCACGGACAAAAGCTAGAAAATCAATAGAGCTAGGAAGAAATGCATATAATGAACAGCTCTTTATGGCAGCTGAAATGAAAATCCGATCTGCAGGTAAACGAGACTCTGCCGGAATTGTAAAAGAACTATTTAACGCCTCTCCAGAAAGAGGTACTGTTATGAAGAGATGTAGAATTAAAAGTGCTGTTCCGAAACGGTACCCTCCAGATGAAGCCCTTGCGCTGATTATAGATGCTGATTTATCAACTGAGAGGTACAATGTAATAAGAAAGTATGGCGAACAGGGTAGCTCAAACATATATCCTTCATAAGAAATGGTAAAAGCCGCAAAGAAGTTATGTTATCCAGAAAACATAACCATCACTGAATCATTCGCGGTGCTTTAGGGGGCTAAGTTTTCATTGACTAAAGTATCGATTTGTTTGAAAATAAATGTACTTTTAGACGAATACTACATATTTGGCCACTTTCATAGAAACTTTATAAATTAGCGATGGTTAAATTTTAAACAATTAAGAAAAATATGAGATTTTCAAATATTACCCGGTGAAAACCCCTAGCAAACGAAGTCCAACAGTACATTGTTATACATTATTTTAAAGATCTATAAACCTCTTTTTCAAAACACGTCCGATTTTTACAATCTGACGAAAAAATACAAGTTTTTAATAGATAAGTGGATCAAATACGAAAATAACGGGTTTTTTCTTTTTAATAAAAAACATGGTTGGTTCAGGAACTATAAGAAACCTAAAGCAAGTTTTGTTTCTGGTGTATTTCGTGCTTTTTTTTGTAAAAATAGCCCATATTTCATTTTCAAAAATGAAAGAATCATTAATATTGGGGTCCTAATACTTATGGTCAAGGCTGTATGTACAAATGTTTAAGTTTAAATCAAACATGATATGGCTTACTTATATTTTCAGTGTACTTCAACTTCGTAGACATTTCAAAAAGTAGAATTGTACAACTTTAATCAGCGCATAATTGACGACGCAGCCAGTACGCTAATTCGCTTCTCCAGTACACCATCAATAAATTAGATGTAGCCGACGCTGCCGCAAATTAGCAAATTGCCAAATGGAACACAACTCGATGCTCGATTTGCCATAATTGCGCTTCAAGAAATTTACAAGCGTCTATGCATAAATGCGTTTGCTTACATGCGCATACATACATACATATGTATGTATATATATATATATATACCTACATGCATATGCTTATATAAACGCTTATTAAAT